CTTTCTCTCAAACAGCAATATGTCACTAATAGCATGTCCAGACAAGTAAAACCCTGTAGTTGTGATAATATGGGACCCTAAAGACTCTGTATCTTTGTAAAAAGTGGGTCCTTCCTTCACACCACCATAATTTGGTTCTGACATAAATAGGAAGAAATACTATTGTTGCAATAATAAGAGTTCATGTGCTGTGACGATACTCCAGAGTTAATAAACTCACCATACATTAAACACAGCCTGTTTATATGCATATTGGCAGTCTGTCACATATTCTGTAGCCATCTTCGGCAAAAGTCACAGGACAAATAGTTTACTTGAAGGTCAAGAAAAGCAGGTTTCCAATTTTCTTTTCATTTTTTTCTTTGTTTGAAATGTCAAGAAGACACTCAAGTGGGGTTTTTTCGCCTATGCTAAGTGTGCTCTTTAAAGCACGTGACTGGAAAGAGTTATTTTACTAGTGCTGTATCATTTTTTTGATGTCTTTGTTTACCATTTTACACTGCCAGGAGTGCTAGCAACTTCGAAGATGTGCATGGTAAGTTTCTTCTCCTGAAGAGATAAATTTCTGTCAAGATAAAGGCTAAGGAAGTTCCTGGAGACAGGACATAAAAAGTGTAAAATGATCAAGAGATGAAATTAAATCCATCTTCAGGTCCTGGGACTTTTTTCTTAGTTCTTTTTTTCTGTGAAAATACATGGAGCAAATTTGCAGGAGAGATTTTTAAAAAGGAAGAGAAGTAAAAGAAAAAAAGGTTTCAGTTATATAGATTAATATGAAAAATAAGTGGAAGTGAGCATGGAAGGGCGTTACAAAGAGCAGAGCCATAAAACTGGGTAGAACAAAAGGGTGATGGTATTAGAGGGGGCAAATGTGAGCGAAGGAGCAGCAGCAGCAGCTTGTGTGGCGCTTGGAGAGAGGCATCTCTGGTGCCCTGTGGCTGCTTGCTACACTGGCATCTCTGCAGTGTTTTACTTTTGCTTATTCAGGTACCTTGTGGTTTCACTGCTCATTATTTGAATTTTTATTGCATTTAAGGGGTCCCTGCACTTTTTTTTTGCATTTTTTTTTCTGAGTCAGTGAAAGAACTAAAGCAGATAGTGCATGCTTTGGACAAGCTGTAACAGACAGATGTCAGTCTTGAGGCGTGATTAACCACAGTTTTAATTCTTGATCAAATCCCAAGAGTAGTTAGAAGATACTGGATCTTCTGTAACTGCTACCTCCATGTGTTATACTTAAATATATACCCTGGAAAGGTTACAGGAATGTATATCCTTGTTTTCAGCAGCATCGTTCATCCTTATTTTGGCCTTTCCTTTCTGCTGAGCTTCTTACCCAGAACTAGCAGGGGCAAGATCTTTTGTCAGAGAAGGCCTCGAGGAGGTTAAGCTGGATTTGGCTGGCTGAAAAATCGAGCATATTGCAAGACATGCAGGGGGATGTCTCCAGACATACAGCTGAGGTGGGGAAGACCATGGCCCACTGAGGAAATCATAACCTAACTAGTATTGGCATAGAGAAAGAGAGATCTGCTGCTGAGATCTGAATCTTCTGTTTTCCGGAATTTATTCCAGAGACGTGGCTAGGAAAGTGCTGGTGTTCCTTTTGGTTTGCGTGCATGTGTGGAGTATCTGTTCACAAATGTCTTGATTTTGGGTGGTGCTGCTCCTTAGCGGGCATGTCTTGAGTTCTCTTCTCTGTCAGGCATTATGGTTTTTGTCCTTTGCTAGCAGAGCTGTTAAAAAGGCAGCCACCCAGGCACAGTGGTGTCCCGTTCATTGCTTTCACTGCATTTAGGCAACAGGCAGCTAGAGGACCATCCTGACTCTAGGAGCAGCAGTCTCCGCTGCGACTCTGGCTGGGTTCCGATGGGTCCTGAAACATGTGCTATATGGTGAATCTTGATTTTGTAAGTGCTTATACTGCACGCTAGTTCCTGAAAAGTGGGTATTTAAAGGGACACTTCCTGAAATACTATTTTAAGTTTTTGAAAAATTTCAGAATGTGTTAGTGAACATTCTGTGGAAAAAATATATATGGTACAATTTAATGAGTATTTCTTTGCTATCTGTCTTATTTATCTTATTTGATGTTGGAATCAACGTGCTGAATAATTATTGCAAGGATTGGATAATGCTGAATGTTTCTGCCCTGCTTTCTTCAACCATCTTTACAAATCCTTGTAGTTTATGGCTCCATAATGTTGCTTGTCCTCTCCTCGCTTCGTGGACTGGTTTTCCTAAGAAGTGCTGCCTAGGAATCTGCTTGATTATTGAGAAGCATCAAGCCTAGTGCTCATTGCCAATAATGGGAATGCTTTCCTATCAGATGTGCACTCATATCTGTCAGTTACTTGAATAGCCACTGTTGTTGCTGTGCTTGAGGATTTTTTCATGTTTAAAATTCAGAATTACTTCTGAAATGCAATATTTACACAAGTTGAGTGTGACAAATAGTTTGAAATATTTCATAAAGGGTATGTGTGTACATGGTGGATCTCATTAATAGCTTCATTGGTTTTACGTTTGCATTGCTCCACTTACTAGAGTGGAACTACTGTGGATTTGCATTGGTTTATGTGAAGTCGAGGACTGGGCTGTATGTCTGAGCAGAATCCGTGCTGTGCCTCTGCCTTGCTTCAGAAGGCTCCAGTGTGCCTCTTGGGGCTGCAGTATTTGGGCTGAGGAATGAGGGTTGCCAAAAAGGTGCATTTTTTTAGTCACAGTAATGCTGGTGTTATCATCTGGGGGGATCTGAGATGCTGTATGTTAGGTCCAAAAGAATTGCCCCAGGGACAATCAAAGAAACACAACATTGCTGAGGTTGGCTCCATCTGCGCATTGACAGGACACGCTGGGTAACTGCATAGCCAAAGCTGTGTCTGTTGCTCCTGGTAATGGAGTATCCCCTTACTGCTTAAAGATGCACCTGTTCATATGTGCTGATAAATGATACACGTGCAACTGCATGTCTCAAATGACATCTGGGTGTTCAAAAGAAAGGGAAACAAAAATAACCAAAAGCAAAGCAAAATAAGCTTGATTCGTATTATCGGAGTATTTTTTTTTAAAGAAACAAAAGCAATCCCCTTCCCAACAAATTTTGAAGTTAAAGACCTTTTGCATGTTGATTTTGTTGCTTTTCTTTGCATCTTGTTTTATTTTAGTTATGGTTTTCTAGAAAATGAGAGTTATGTGACTTCTAGCTTCCTACTAATGGATACAGACAGGTAAGTTATTAATCAGTACAAGAACCACAAAGCTGTAATGACTTCGCTTGGTAGTACTTCTGTAATATGCCTATGTAAATAAAATACTTCGGCAGTGAAGGTTCCCAAGCCATTTTCAAAAGTTGAATGAAGAAGTACTGACTAATCAAATTCTTCTTCTGTGTTTGCAGGTCACTTGTCCCCTCTGTAAGTTTTCAGGCACAAGTCCCTGTATTTACAAGCTGCAGACTAGTGCTGACCATGTCAGAGGCACTTCAAAGCATACTTTAGTTTGCTGAGAACAAACTTTGTTAGCTTTAAGTCCTGCAAAAATTCAGTGCTCTCAAACAATTCCACTGTGGGACATTGAATAATACCTGATATTTTAATACTAGCATTTCAAAAGTGAGAAGTTCTGGAGGATTTAGGTTTCTTGTGAGGCATTTCTAATTTATTGTAGTTTGTGAGCAACTGCACAACTTGGCAACAGGCCTCTATAGCCACCTAATGAAAATCTAATAAGACTTAAAGTTCTTCATACGTTCAAGGTCACATAGGGAATATTATGTGATGCATGCTGTTGCTGAAATAAGCTCACCTCATTTCACTTGAAAAACCACTGGAGGAACCAGATGACAGCAAGAGAAGTCATCCTGGCTTTCCAGAAAGAAGTAAAATCTTTTCTGGATCTTGACTGAATCTTCAAACCTAGAGTTGAAGTTGATTTTAATACAGGGGATTTTTAATGTACTAGCATCTGACCTTAAATGATAGGGAAGAGAAAAGCATATATATTTTATGACATCTTGTGCCTGGTGCTGATTATAGGCCCTTATAACGTCCATATTCACATACTAGTTTTGGGACAGTGTAAACTTGCTTTGCTTTGAATTTCTGCTTGTACAGTGTCTGTTCTAGTTTTTTGAGATACAGAGTTTGCTTGAGAGACTGGAAAATTATTCTTCCAGAGGAACAGTAACATGTGGTTGAGGGAGTTTCACTAAACAGTATTGAGTATACTTCTTAAAGCAACTCCTCTTTGTAGAAAGCAATTGCAATGTCACTTATAGTTAGCCAAAAAATGTTCAGGATGTTGTATCTCCTATGGAGTGTGTTTTTATTAGCCAGATACTACAATGAAGAGTCAGTGGAAGTGCATAAATGAAACCATCTCTCTCCCCTCCTGAAACAGTCGGCTGTCTCCATATACTGGTTTTAGCAATTTAGTAGTGTGATTGCCCAGTAAAAATCATACTTAGTTTGGTCAGCTAATAAAGACATTTCTGATTTATGCTGATGCAACAAAAAGCAAAATAATTGCTTGTGATTTCAGCTAGAATTGTTGGATGGCTCTTTTGGCCTTGCTGCATGACCTGTACCTTTCATAGATGGCACAGCAGAATATACTGAGTTTGATAGCTTACAGATACTTCACAGTATTCTTTTTAGAGGATTTTTCTTAGCAGACTTTTCAACATAAGTGTGTGTTCGTGTGTACATACCTATGCTGTAGTGGTTGTTTGAGCAGCAAGGAATGGCATTACCGTACATCTCCTCAGCACATGTCTTATCCTCAGGGCCTTGTTAGCAGCAAAATTTGCAATGTGGATGTACAACCATAAAAACCGTAGCAGAATACCCAAGGACACTTTTTTCCTAAATAAGCTACACAGAAGTGACCTTCAGCATACCAGTAGTTGAAGAAGTTTGGACTTCTTCCTTCTTCTCTTTGGTTCTTTTCCCCCATGTTCCAGTTTCAGGAGACCAATAATGAAATGCTTTGTTTTGCAGACAAGAAGTCCAAAGCCGTCCCAGAGCCCGCAGCCCAATTTGGCTGACCAGACAGAACATCTCTCTGAAGCATCTGCAGATTCCTTGGAGGCCATGTCCGAGGGTGATTCTCCAACGCCCTTTTCGAGGGGCAGCCGTACCCGGGCGAGCCTTCCCGTGGTGCGGTCGGCAAACCAAACGAAGGAAAGATCACTGGGTAAGAGCCTGCTTCAGTCCTTCTCCTCTCTGCTTTTAGCCTGTGTTTTTCCTTTGTGCATTTAAAATAGTTTTAAAATAGTTTGGCGTTCAAAAAGTAGACTTTGGTAGCACATTATTTTAAAAGTCAGGTTGTTCTTTGGAAATGAACTCAGTGTGGGGTACTGGGTAACTTGGGAGAATGGTGAAATTATTTTCGTAAACATGAAAGTGTGCTGGGAACATGGTAGACAAGGAGAAAGATGCAGACCCTGACGTGAAATGCTGACAAATAGCTAAAACCCAACACTGCAAATACTTTTTGCCCAGCCTGCACACTCCGTGGCAGTGAACTTAGTACAAGATTACACCCTCTTTTTCAGACGGCAGACACAAGGGTTTTACTCTATCATCTCTTCAAAGCCGAACCTGGTTGGAAGAAACCTACAGATATTATTGCCTGACAGATCCAGCTCTTAGTGACAAGACTTGGTATGTGTGTGACAGTAGCTTTCCAGGCAGAGGATTTCAATGGATATGCTGACAGAGATGCCCTTTACTTTGGGGCAGTGTCCTTCCATCTGCGTGGGGACACGGGTGATATGTTAGCGCAGGTGGATGACTCTGCTTCCCACGTTCTTCCCATATCTCAGGTTGAATTAAGCCCAGCTGGGAACCAGAGCTCCTTTTTATCGGAATGGATTCTGTCCTGGAGACTCTGCTCTCAGCTGATGGATGGTACGACCAAAGGCTGGTTTTTTGAGGGAGGACACCAGAGGGCAGTTAAACTGCTGCGAGAAGGTGGCAGTAACTCACGTGTGGATTGCTGAGGCAGGCAAGGTTTTGCTCAGGGGTAATAAACTGAAATTCTATTTCCTGTATACTCATCTCCCAACATAGGGAATGATATAAACCTAAGGCTGGGCTGTAAATCATAACATGCTTGTAATCTTGTCACGATGGTTTACTCCTTCCTCAACAATCTGAGACAGTTTCTGTCAAGAGTATTACAATATCTGACAAACACAACAAATGAGAAGAAAACAGGGCTGGAAGGGGTCCCTGGAAGTGCAGAGTTCTGGGGCTGGGGACAATGCCTGCCCACATCAGCTCACAGAGTGGCACTGCTGCCCTCCCAAAGCTTGTTGGGCCACCAATATGTCAGGCTCTTTGTGGAGAAATTTTGAAGACTCCAACCTGGACAAGACTTTTTTGGTGTAGAGGTGTTTTTAAGAACAAACATGTAGCACATGTATGTTTACTATACATGCAGAGGATCCATCTCTGCCTGTATGTCACTGCTGGCTAGGGTGTCCTCAGAAAGGCTTACTTCACCCTGAGATGTTCTGGATGTCATGTGTTTGCTTCAGTGTGAGGTCAAGTGGACTGGACCTTTGCAGGTCCCTGTGTGACTTGCAGTTCAGCCTCACTGCGTGGGTTTCAGCTGGCATTCAGCGATTAGCCCAGGCCGCACAGGGTATCTCAGCTCTGAACTTCTGTTTGGGTTATGGGATGAGAATTGATAAACAGCTTTTGGGAAGCTTTTTGTTGGCATCAAAGAGGGTGGCCTGCTATATACCAGTGCTTTGTGCAGTGTTTTCTCCCCCAAAAGCTGAGCTAGAAACAGCTTTCTCATTGTCAGTGTGTACATCTGAAAAGAATATAATAGCCCTGTTTCTGGAAGAGACCTAAGTGCTCATGACTACAAATAAACCTGGTAGGTTATAGGAAAGACTGTACTGGATTAGACCAAGAATCTGCCTGGCCCCATATTTTGTCCCCAAGAGGGACCATAGGGCAGCTAGCCTAGGCAAGAGTAAGAACAGGGTAAGTATGTGCATGTATGATCATTCCCCTCAGTAGTCTCCTGGCCTCAAGCTAACATTAGCTTAGGGATTTTGTGGTTATGGTTTCTGCCTATATAATAACCCTCAAGAGATGTCTCCTCCAGGTATTTGTTCAGTCTCCCTTTGAACCCATGTAAATTTTTCACATCCAAGGTGCAGCTGTGATTTAGGCAGCAAGTTTTGTTGGTTAACTGCCCAACCATCACTTTTGTCTTGTTTCACATTTGCTTATCTGCTCTGAGTTAATGTTGAGCCCCCATATTCTTGTGTTGGAAGTGACAACAAGCATTAGATCGCTGTCTGCTCCGTCTGGGCCATCTCTGATTTTTGTAGGGCTATCATTTCCCTCAGGTCATCTCTTCCTGGGGCTGAAAAGTGCTGCTGTAATCCCTTGTTCCTCAACCAGAAATCATCCTGGACATTTGGTTACCATTGTTGCCCTTCTTTGCACTTTTTCCAGTTTGACAGTATCTTTGCTGAGATGAGAGGACCAGAGCTGCAGAAGCTCACTGTTAAGTAGCCCACTCTTAAACCCTTTTTTTAGCATCTGTTGTGTATACTGAAATGTGTTGTTCAGGTCCTAATGGAGGATGGCCACATGAAGATGAACCATTTTATTTAATGGCCAGGATTTCAGACTTTGCAAGGCACCCTGTCTCAGCCTTTCTTTCATATAGTAGAGACAAGACCCTGGTTTATCCTGGGGGGGAAGTAATGTAACATGAAGCATTTAAGTTGAGAGTTTTTAGCTTTGAAACAGGAGCAAAATAAGCCTTTTCCCACTTGCACTATAGGAGGGGTCACAGCTATGTGTGTGGCTTAAGGGATCATCATACTAGCCAAATAGGAGGTAGTATATTGTCACCACCCTACAATCTGTCATTTTCAAGTTGTTCTAGGAACTATTAATAGCAAATAGTTTGTTTTAAAAGGTCATCTAAAAATAATTCTAAAGTAGTTCAATTTTAGATTATTATTCTTCAATGCATTTCCTTTACAATAATGTCCTTTTCAGTCTTTTCTGCCAGTGTTTTCTAACATCACCATGAGCAATGTCCTGAAATCTTAATTTTGAGACTCTTTGCAGAGTGTGGCCCTGTTAGGATTGTTTAGGATTGTTTTTACTTCCAGCAGTACAAGGGGAGTGTTTATTTTTAAAAAACAGGAAGCTGTTTATAACTTCAATTTTAAAAGCATCATGAAAATATTTCTGTTCACATGATTTATAATAAGCTATGTGTAATCACCTCCCTTTCCATCTCTATTTTTTTTAATTTAATCTAATTTAAATACTAATTATGTTTTGATCCTCAGCCAACATAATTTCAGTGAGAAAAATGACCAACGTTTGTGAATTTTGATTAATTTTACACTTAATATGTCAATGCCGTTGTTTTAAAAACCTGATGTTTTCTTTCTGAAATTCTAATTCTTCTATAGGTTCCTATTTTATTAAGTACATATGAGCCAGTTTTATTTTCAGTTGTGGTCAGAATCAACGTGGAGCCTGAGAAGGAAG